GKYYTTGTTCTGTGAATGTGCAGCAAAGCAGGAGCAACTCACCAGTCCACACAATAACACTGGTGATGACTTGCAGCCGGCTGAAGGTTTCCAGCGCAGCACTTTTCCTTCAGAGGAATTCTTGCTGATTACTGAGGAACCAGCTTCCTGATGGGAATGTGTCCATTCTGTCAGACTTGGGATGGACACCAGCTGCTGGCAGCCACTATGCCTGGTACCCTGCCAGCCTACCAGCTGCCAGTGGTGGGCAAACTGCCCGGTTTCCCACCTGGTAGACAAGTGAACAGCCAGCTCCTCACCTAGCAAATGGGAAGAAAAACACCAACAAATCTTTTCCAAGAAAAAGATACACAYTTCTGAATTTCCAATATTTAAAATTCCAAATCAGACAAGTCTAAGCAACCCAAACATCATCTGGCTGGTTTTGGAAAATAAAGTCCATGGATTCAGACTGAATTTGATCCCAGCTTCAAGGTGCAATTTCCCTCCCAGCTCCTGCACTTGTCATGAAGACTGGTTTTCTTCAAAAGCCTTTTATGTCACAGTTACTTGTAACCAAATCCCTTGATTTTGAACTCTCCTTGTTTTTTGAGATTACAGAAGATGTAATTTACATTCTTCTCAACCTCTGTGTGTGTGCACATCCATCCACACACCCACATACACAACCCCTTCTGCACTACCCTCAGTCTGATCTATCCTTTTGGTTTGGTGAACACAGTCCACATCACCCTCTTAAAACACCTTTCCTTGGTCTCTCATTTTGGCTCTGGGGTGACCCTATGGGTGGTTCTTCCCACCCCATCATCATTCTGTCACACTTCTCCGTGGGGCCCGTGACTCCTCCTGGGAATCTTTYCTCCTGTGTAGGCAGCGATGGCCTCTCAGAAGGATTGCCCTTGCAAGTACATTTTCCAGTTTGCTTTGATCCTGGTGCCTGCATGGCAGCTCCTTTCTCTTTCAAGTCCTACAACTTTTCCAGTCTGAAAACTTCATAGTTTTTGGAAATCAGGAATCACTGAAAATTAGAAAAAAATAAGGCTTTTCTTTCTGCAGAGCTTTCCATGGATGTAGTGCAATTTAAAAAAAAACAAAAACAAAATCCCAAACCCAAAGCAACCCACAACAAAAATAAAATCAAACCAACATCCCTTACTACCCAAAAAATCATACTTCTCAGAGGAAACACTTTCTGCATGGTACCATGGGTTACTTCTTGCATGGGACCTCTCATGCTGAGCTTCTCAGCCCAGAGAACACCTTATWAACACCCATGTAATGAGCTGTGTCAGCAGCCACTGCCATGCTGACCCATGCAGGTGTCCAAAAGGAAACTCAAGGCTTCAAATCTGTACTGTGATGCTCAATATAAAAAMTAAATCCTTTCTTGTCATTCCTTCCCCTAATCTGAGCTCTAGCTGGGCTAGCAAGCAGTGCACCTAGCGATATCTGCACTTCAAAATTCAGCAGGGATGCTGGAATAACTGTGCCAGAACTTTTAAGCAGGTCTTGTGTCCACACCTGTCTGAAGATGTGCTCATCTTTTATCCAAAAAGGGAAAACTAGAGAATCTCTGATTTCTCAGAATGGGGTTATAAAAAGTGTCTGCAGAAGGGTGAAGCCTCTGAGCAAGAGCACCTCATGTCTTTTTCCTTAGTAGTATCATGTAGCAAAGAAATGAAAAAATCCTTCCTGATGCTGACCCTTTATTAGTGTAATCCATTATCAGACACATTTGGTAATTCCAGTCTCACCTTCTTGAGACCACACCAGTGTCAAGATGTCAGACTTTGAGAAAACCTGGAGGACTGGCCAGTTAGTTAATTGTGTTTTCCTGGGTCTTGTATTTAAGTCCCAGAGTGTGTGTGGGGCTCCCAGTTGTGAGAGGCAAGAGACTTCCTGCTGCCTCCAGCAGCTGCTGCTTCTCCTGGGCACCACAGCTAATGGGGAAACTGCTCTGGGAACTTTGGATTGCCCTGTGTGTGTCTGAAAATCCCATTGCTTGGTTGGGTTGCCCTGAGAAGTTGTGGGTGTCCTGTCCCTGGAACTGTTCAAGACTGGGCTGGATAAGACTTTGAGCAACCGGGTCTACTGGAAGGTGTCCCTGCCCATGGCAAGGGGYTGGGACTTGATGATCTTGAGGTCCCTTCCAACCCTAACAATTCTGTGGAATGGGGGTCTGTGGGTCAGGCCCTAGGAGGAGGACTCCAGGGAGTGAAGTGCCCAGGAGCAGTGCTGTAGAAACTAGAGRAGGTAGTTAAGGACCTTGAGCCTCCCTCAGCTGAATGTCTCTTGAAAAAGTTTTGAGGTTTTTTTTTTTTTTAACTGTACCTGCTCCCATTGAGGTTTTTCCGTCTGATCTCTGAGAGTCCCAGTCAGAGTGGACAGTGAGATATGCAATGGGAAAGATCAAGGGATTGATATCTGACTCCCTGGGATACTGAGGCTTGACTAAACTGTTGTTGTGCCCTCAGCATTGCCAGGAGAGGGGAATCGATTTTCATCTGGGTTGTCTTCAGTTTTGCCAACCTGTGCTTTGCCTGTTTAGCTGGCTGTCGCGTTCCAGCTGTGGGGAGCCGTGAGTTCTTTGAAAATGGATGGTCAAGAACCAAATGAAGTCAAATGAGACAAACTTTTATCCGCGAACTGTTTATTGGCAACTTTAAAAATGAGGAGAAGGAATTGCCCACTAAAGGGGGCTGGAAAAGACAGCAAAAGAGAAAGGAAAATGGAAAAGYAATGGGTAGAGACAGAAAGGAGACAGAGGGAGAGAGCAGGCGTTACCACCAGCAGGACAAGGGGATGCCGTCGGTGTCCACATGACGGGGGTGAGGGCTGCTGCTGGAGGGAGAGCAGCTTGGGGAGAGGAGTGGCTCCCGCAGCGATGGGTGCTGGACACGCGGTGAGTGGACACTCGGACAGGACCGGGACCCTGGGTGGAGTCGGAGCGAGGATCGTGGTGGCAGGTGAGGTCGGAGGCAGGCAGGTGGCTCAGGCAGGACAGGCGGTGGCTGGGCCAGGCGAAGGAGCGGAGTGAGGCAGACACTGCACTCGAGGCTTGGAGGGCAGATGGAATCCTGCCGAGCGCCCAGGAGGGAAGGAGGATACGTGGGGGCGAGTGAGAGCTGGCGAGGGCAGAATCCAGGCAGGCTGGAGTCGGAGCAAAAAGGACCCCTCAGCAGCAAAACCACCAGCAGTGAGCAACAAAGAGCAAAAACCCCAGCACAGACACAGACGACTCCCCTCAACTCCAGGTCAGCAAAGTCCACCTCCCCAAAACTCACCTCCCCGCAACTCAACTCTCAAAACTCATGGCGCAGTTGATTTTTATACCCGCTGGCTCCTCCCAAAGTCTGCCTGCTGACCAGGAGACCATTGGCTCAGTCCAACCTTCTTCCATTGGTGGAGCCCTTGCACCATCTGATTGGAGAGATGTCTCTGGGATGAGCAGTGTCTCCAGGTGCCCATGTGAGGTGTTGCCAGGCAAATCCCCCCAGAGACAAGGCTTCACCCATGTCCTGTTTGCCTCCTGCAGGCAGCTCGTGTGCACCCCTTCCCCCACATGCCTCTGACAGTCGGTGTTGAGGCAAACCAAGATTAAAGTGGCTCCTCACACTGGTGCCTGGAAGGAACACTGTTCCTGATGATCTTTCAGCTGGAGAAGACTTGCAGCCTGTGTGCTGCCAAAGTCAGCTGATGCTAGCAGTGCTGTGGTGCCAGTGGCACTAAGGSAGATCATGTCACTTTAAAAACATAATTAGAATGGAAACTTCAGAAAGGCAACTTCTAGCCTTGCTCAGGCTACAGCTGCTAACAACTAAAATGTGGCATGCCCTGGGGCCTCCAGCCTGTGTCATCACAAGGCTCACTAGGGAGTTTGTGGCTCCTCAGGGGCAGTGGTTTCAAAGTGGYAACAGGGATGCCCTGGGCTGTCGCCAGACCTGAGTCCCCCGTGGCTGGGCAAGGAAGTGCAGCAGGGCCTGACGTGTCTGTGGTGACCCACAAACCAGAAGGATTCTTGTGGCAGTGCTGGGTTGGCTGGCATTTCTACTACCTCTGAGCCATGTTGTCTTCACCTCACCCCACACCGTCTTGATATGTGGTCTGGGGTGCTTGGCTGCAGGAGAACTCTGGTAGGCAGGGTGGAGGCTTGAGTGGCTGTAAGAAAACKTCCCCTTTCTCACTTTCACCAAGTGTGTGACATTTGGTGYGGTAGTGTGTGTGTTTAATCAAAGRCTTCAGTCTGTCTTGCTTGTAGTTTTTGGAGGTAAAAACACTTCACTACACTTCACTAGTTAGCTAGAGGTGTCCTGGTTAAAATGCAGCTGATAAATGTGACCTTCTTAGCAATTCTGTTTATGAAGATGAGTGATTTCCCATAAAGTCACRTCCCTCAGACAGAC